ATTACCACAATGGTTACATTTATGAGGTTTTTCCCCAGTATGAATACTTTCATGAAGTTGGAGGTATGATCGATCATGGAAAGTTTTACCATATTCCTTACATTCATGAGACTTCTTTCCATCATGACTTCTTTTATGTCTTCGAAGAGAGCTGAGATAACTGAAGGCTTTCCCACATTGCTGACATTCATGGGATCTTTCCTCATTATGAGATCTTTCATGATGTCGGAGGTAACTTGGATCAGAAAAAGCATTACCACAATGGTTACATTTATAAGGTTTTTCGCCAGTATGAATACTTCCATGAACTCGGAGGGCATATCGATCACGGAATGTTTTTCCACATTCTTTACATTCATGAGGCTTCTTTCCATCATGACTTCTTTTATGTCTTCTAAGAGAGTGGAGACTGCTGAAGGTTTTTCCACATTGCTTACATTCATAGGGTTTTTCCTTAGTATGAATACTTTCATGACATGGGAGAGAAGTTGGCTTAATGGAAGCTTTATCAAAATGGTTACATTCATAAGGTTTTTCCCCAGTATGAATACTTTCATGAAGTTGGAGGTATGATCGATCACGGAAAGTTTTACCATATTCCTTACATTCATGAGACTTCTTTCCATCATGATTTCTTTTATGCTTTGCAACAGAGCTCAGACAACTGAAGGTTTTCCCACATTGCTTACATTCATAGGGTTTTTCTCCAGTATGAGTTATTTCATGACATCGGAGGTAATATCGAAGAAGGAATGTTTTACCACATTCCTTACATTCATGAGGTTTCTTTCCATCATGACTTCTTTTATGTTTTGCAAGCGAGCCTCGAGAACTGAAGGCATTCCCACATTGCTTACATTCACAGGGTTTTTCCTTATTATGAGTTCTTTTATGATATCGCAGGGAACTTGGATGAGAGAAAGCTTTACCACAATGGTTACATTCATAAGGTTTTTCCCCAGTATGAATTATTTCATGAAATCGGAGGTCAGTTCTATCACGGAAAGTTTTACCACATTCCTTACATTCATGAGGCTTCTTTCCATCATGACTGCTTTTATGTCTTCGAAAAGAGCTGAGATAACTGAAGGTTTTCCCACATTGCTTACATTCACAGGGTTTTTCCTCATTATGAGTTCTTTCATGACTTCGGAGGTAAGTTGGATGAGAGAAAGCTTTACCACAATCGTTACATTTATAAGGTTCTTCCCCAGTATGAATACTCTCATGATGTCGGAGGGAATATGGATCACAGAAAGTTTTACCACATTTCTTATATTCAGGAGCCTTTTTTCCATGACTTCTTTTATGTCTTCCAAGAGAGTTGAGACTACTGAAGGTTTTTCCACATTGCTTACATTCATAGGGCTTCTGCCCAGTATGGGTCCTTTCATGATCTCTAAGACAGTAGGGAAGAAATGTTTTACCACATTCCTTACATTCATGAGGCTTCCTTCCATCATGACCTCTTTTATGTTTTCTAAGATTGCTGCACCATTTGAAGACTTTGCCACATTGCTTACATTCATGTTTCTCGCCAATATGTGTTCTTTCATGGTTTCTAAGAGAAGTGGAACTGGAAGCTTTACCAGATTTCTTACATTGATAGGGCTTTTCTGCAGTGTGTGTTCTTTCATTTTCTCCAGAGTACTTGGGAGAACTGAAAGCTTTGCCACGTTGCTTACTTTGACATTGTTTCTCGCCACTATGAGTGTTTTTGTGAAGTTTAAAGTAAATGAGATGACTAAGGCCTTTCCTACATTGCGTACACTCATACAGTTTCCCAGGGATATGCATTCTTTCATGATTTCTAAGGAAAGTTGAATAATGGAAAGCTTTCCCACTGGGGCTACCTTCATATCTGTGAATATGTTGGTGAGGCTTGAAAGCTTTGTCAGATTCCTTACGTTGATAAGGGTTTTCTTCATATTCCTGACACAGGTATAGTTTGAGTCCAATGTGAGAGCTCAGGTGGTTATTCAAGGAAAAATAATGCATGAAGATTTGCCAACATAACCTGGATTTAGGTTGTTTTATTTCAGTAGGAGTTTCCTTCTTTTCATTAAGTTTTGGAACTTGGCTGAAGTTTTCTCTGCATTGACAACCATCCTTCCTTGTACAGAGTCTCTCTACCATATGACTGCTGTAAAAATCAGAAGCATATTATTAATACTCTGTTAACAGTTTATTAATATTTATTAATAATTATTAATATTTAATAAATATTTAATATTCATTAATAATTTATTGATACTCTGTTAACAGTTTATTAATATTTATTAATATTTATTAATATTTATTAATAGTACGATAATGACATTTTTACCATTTTCAAGGTAAGTGTGGGTTTCAGTACATACCAATTTTTGAAAGTGGATAGCCTAAAACCTCTGAAATAGACTGGATCATAAATATTATGAAAAAATTTATATTCATTAATGGTGCTTCTGTATATTGTTTTTGATGAGATTATTCTAAGAATCAATATACATTTAAAACTTGGCTGATACAAATGGATTACCTGTTTTTAAGACTGTTTTGTGGACTGGGCCCATGGGGCTCAGTGGTTCAGCATTTACCCAACAACCAGGGGGTTACCAGTTCTACTCTCCGAAAGGGAACATGGCCAGGTTGCAGACATATTAACCCCTGTACAGGGCATGCAGGAGGTAGCCATTCAATGTTTCTATCTCTCCTTCTCACCTCCACACTATAAAATTAAAAAAACCATATTTTCGCACCACCAGCATGGCTCAGTGGTTGAGCGCCGACATATGAATCAGGAGATCATATTTTGATTCACGGTCAGGGCACATGCCTGGGTGGTGGGCTTGATTCTGAGTATAGGGCGTGCTGGAGGCAGCTGATCAATAATTCTCTCTCATCGTTGATGTTTGTCTCTCTCTCTCTACTTCTCTGAAATAAATAAACATATATCATATATATATATATATATATATATATATATATATATATGAACATATTTTTAAAAAATGCTCGTACAGGATAATGCTTTCTCATGTCAATGCCACTCACCTAAGATTCATCCCATGATTTTCATACTGATCTTCACCGTCATGGTCTTCCCATTTTTATTCTAAAATACATGCTAGAAAAAGCATTATAAAGTACTAAAGAATATTAAAATGGTTAAGAGTTTAGGTACACAATGAGCTGTGATCATTCGTAGTTTAATTACCGATGCATTCCCTTTCCACATTTCAGTTCTTGAAACAGCATTGATGAGCAAGCAACACTAGTTTTCCAAGTGACTAAATAAACAACAAATTGTTGCTGGCCAGGGTCGCTATGTAGTCAACCTATGAACCAGGAGGTCAGGGGTCAAATTTACAGTAGGGCCGAATCCGGTTTGGCTCAGTGGATAGAGCGTCGGCCTGTGGACTGAGAGGTCCCGGGTTCGATTCCGGTCAAGGGCATGTACGTGGGTTGCGGGCATATCCCTGGTGGGGGATGTGCAGGAGGCGGCTGATCGATGTTTCTCTCTCATCGATGTTTCTAACTCTCTCTATCTCTCTCCCTTCCTCTCTGTCAAAAATCAATAAAATATATATAAAAAATTAAAAAAAAAAAAAAGAAGAGTTCTCTCTTCTTTAAAAAAAAAAAAAAATTTACAGTAGGCCTGGTTTGCAGGCTATATCGCCAGTGTGAGGCATACAGGAGGTAGCAAATCAGTGATTCTCTCTCATCACTGATTTTTCTATCTCTCTCTCCCTCTCTGAAATCAATAAAAGTATATTACAAGAAATTGAAGAATTTGTGATAACTACCTACTGATGCCAGGTTCCAGAAGGTTTCCAGCATCACATCTGTGTAGAGTTTCTTCTGGGTGGGATCCAGGAAAGCCCACTCCTCTGTGGTGAACTCCACATTAACATCCTCAAAGGCCACTGAGTCCTAAAACATCCCACATATGCATAGGTGAGACAGACAACACTGGTTATCTATACATACTTCATAAGTAGTTCGCATGGGGCATGTGGTCCCCGACATTGAGTCTATAACTTGACTGTAACACTAGCAAGACTATTTGCCATACTCACTTCCTCATGAACACATGGAATTTATTGATATGACTTTTATTGTGATCACTTTCAAGTCTTCATTGCTCTCTAATATCAAAAGAACACCTTGAACAACTTCTATTTAATAAGTTAAAATATTTCTATTTTAAGCCTATTGATTCCTTGTGAGAAAACTCATTTCGCTTAACATAATGCTCTTCAGGTTTATAATTTGATGCAGCACTACATGACACACACTGTCATAGATGCATAAAGTGTTAGTGACTATGAATACAATAAAGGCCTGGTAGCTTTCTCTTCTATTCTCATCACCAAACAGGAGAGACCAGGAGGTGTGTGAAAATTCAACTTGGAACAAAATGTAATTGGCCATATTGTCCTGAAGTACTCCAGATTATTAGTAGTCAGATACACCTGAATAAATGAAAATATTCTTGTGGAGAAGTATGAATGATCATTTATTTTTATAATATTTGTTAGTAACTCACTTTGACCTTCTTTTGCCTCTCCATTTCATGGAGGTAGGAAGTTAGAGTTAGAGCTCAGGCATGAAGCAAGACTTGACAACTTAACCCTCTACAAAAGTCCTCTACTCATGATTTTTAGGACATATAGACACATATAATCTATATATATATATATATATATATATATATATATATATATATATATAAAAGGATACTATGCTAAGTATCCCAAGGACTGTCTGACCGGTCACAAATGACACATACTGACCACCAGGGTGTAGTCGCTTGAAGTAGGAGGTGCCGTGATGCACAATGGCTATTTACAAAGAAATGGCACCACGGACCGGGCCGACAAAGCAACACTTGGCTTCCCCCAAGTGGGACTCAGGCCCCACCACCACCCCGGAGCGACAGCCCAGCAAATCATAGCCAACACTGCCGAGACCCTACTGCACAATGCAGCCCACAGCCCAGCCCATCAGTGATTCTCCATCATCATTGATGTTTCCATCTCCCTTTCCCTTCCTCTCCGAAGTTAATAAAAAATATATTAAAAATAATAATAATAAATAAAAAGCTGTGGTATGTCTACACAATGGAATACTACACTGCTGTAAAAAAGAACTGTTACCATTTGCATCAACATTGATAAACCTGATGAGCATTATGCTAGGTGAAATAAACCAGTAAGAGAAAGATAAATACCACATGATCTCACTCATTTGTGGAATATAACGAACAACATAAACTGATGAACAAAAATAGATCCAGACATAAAAGCATCGAACAGACCGTCAAACCTTAGAGAGATGGCAGGGGTGGGGCGTGGATAAGACATCAACCAAAGGACTTGTATGCATGCATATAAGCATTACTAATGGACACAGATAGGAGGGGGTGAGAGCATGTGCTGGGGATAGAGAGCTGGGGAGAGGTCAATGGGGGAAAAAGGAGATATATGTAATACATTAAACACTAAAGAATGTAAATTAAGAAAAATAAAAGAGCCCTAACCGGTTTGGCTCAGTGCATAGAGTGTTGGCCTGCAGACTGTAGGGTCCCAGGTTTGATTCCGTTCAAGGGCATGTACCTTGGTTGTAGGCACATGCCCAGTAGGGGGTGTGCAGGAGGCAGCCAATCAATGATTCTCTCTCATCATTGATGTTTCTCTCTCTCTCCCTCTCCCTTCCTATCTGAAATCAATAAAAATAATTTTTTAAAAAAAGAAATGCTAAAGCAACTGCTGTAATTAGAAGAAACAGAGAAACCTAGGTATACAGAATTAAAATGGCAGTAAATAACTACTTACCAAAAATAACCCTAAATGTAAATAGATTAAATGCTCCAATCAAAAGGCACAGGGCAGCTGAATGGATACAAAAACATGATCCAACTACATGCCGTCTACAAGAGAACCCACCTCAAAACAAAGGACACACACACAGGATGAGAGTGAAGGGATGGAATCTATTTTTCCATGCAAATGGAAAAGAAAAAAATGCTGGAGTATCCGACTCATATCCAACAAAATACTTTAAAATGAAGACCATCACAAGAGACATTAAAGGCCACTACACAATATTAAAGGGATCGATCCAACAGGGAATATAACCCTGCCAAACATATATACACCCAATATAGGAGCACCTAAATACATAAAAAAAAAACTTTTAGAGGTCTTTAACTCAGAGATGAATAACAATATAGTAACAGTAGGAAACTTCAACACCCTGTTGACTTCACTGGATAGATCTTCTAGACAAAAACTTAACAAGGAGACAGTGACTCTAAATGACACACTGAATCAGATGGATTTCATTGACAATTATAGAATATTTCTTTTTTTTAATATATATTTTATTGATTTTTTACAGAGAGGAAGGGAGAGAGACAGAGAGTCAGAAACATCGATCAGCTGCCTCCTGCACATCTCCCACTGGGGATGTGCTCGAAACCCAGGTACATGCCCTTGACGGGAATTGAACCCGGGACCCTTCAGTCCGCAGGCCGACGCTCTATCCACTGAGCCAAACCGGTTTCGGCAATTATAGAATATTTCACAACAAAGCAGCAGAATACACAATCTTCTCACGTGCACGAGTATCATTCACAAAGATAGACCACATTAGTACACAAAACAAGTCTCTACAAGGTCAAGAAGATTGAAATCACATCAAGCATCTTCTCAGATCACAGTGGAATGAAATTAGAAATCAACTACAATAAAAACACACAAAAACATTCAAAGACACGGAGGCTAAACAGCAAATTATTAAACCATGAATGGGTTACCGAGATCAAGAAAGAAATCAAAAAACAAGAAAAATAAACCATAAACTATTTAACCATACAACTTAAAGAACTAGAAAGAGAACAAGAAAAGCCCAGAGTAAGTAGAAGGAAGGAAATAATAAAGATTATGTGATGAATTGAATGTCAGTAAAACATTTTAACAAGGATGGGGTCAAGGATAGGTAACCAGGCATAACTCCAAGTCTCCCACTCCCAGACATCCGCACTTCAAGGTCCTGATTAGACCCTGTAACTGTAAATCAAGGACATTTGTGGTTTCTGGGAATAAAAGCTCGCCGAGCACCAAGCTCGGGGCTGTTACAGGAGGGGCCTGTGGCAGACGCTGGCCAGCTCACTAAATCCTCGCTTGCTGTTTAAGACCTAATTGGAGTCGATGGTCTTATTCTCTAGAATGTTGGTCCACAACAATTAGAGCAGAAACAAATAATATAGAGACTAAAAAATAACAAAAAAATCAAATGATGTCCTAGCCGGTTTGGCTCAGTGGACAGAGGTCAGTCAGCAGATTGAAGGGTCTCAGGTTCCATTCCGGCCAAGGGCGCATGCCTGGGTTGTGGGCTCGATCCCCAATAGGGGGCGTGCAGGAGGCAGCCGACCAATGATTTTCTCTCATCACTGATGTTTCTATCTCTCTATTCCTCTCCCTTCATCGCTGAAAGCAATAAAAAAATATTTTTTAAAAAATTGAATGAAACCAAGAGCTGGTCCTTTGAAAGGATAAACAAAATTGATAAGCTGTTAGCCAGACTTATCAAGAAACAAAGAGAGAGGGCCTAAATAAATAAAACCAGAAACGAAAGTGGAGAAGTAACCGACACCACTGAAATACAAAGGATTGTAAGAAAACACTATGAACAACTATATGCCAAAAAGCTGGACAATGTGGATGAAATAGGCAAATTCCTAGAAAAATACAATCTCCTGAAACTGAATCAAGAGGAATCAGAAAACTTGAATAGGCCAATAACAAATGATGAAACAGAAGCAATAATCAAAAAACTCCCACCAAACAAAAGCCCAGGTCCGGATGGCTACAAAGGGAAGTTTTACCGAACATTCAAAGAAGAACTAACACCTTTACTCCTCAAACTATTTCAGAAAATCCAAGAGGAAGGAACACTTCCAAACTCTTTTTAAGGCCTGCATTTTCCCAATTCAAAACCAGATAAAGACACTACAAAGAAAGAGAACTACAGGCCAATATCCCTGATGAACATAGATGCTAAAATCCTCCATAAGATAATAGCAAATCGCATCCAGCAATATCTTAAGAAAAAATCAGCCGAAACCGGTTTGGCTCAGTGGATAGAGCGTCGGCCTGCGGACTGAAAGGTCCCAGGTTCGATTCCGGTCAAGGGCATGTACCTGGGTTGCGGGCACATCCCCAGTAGGAGATGTGCAGGAGGCAGCTGATCGATGTTTCTCTCTCATCGATGTTTCTAACTCTCTATCTCTCTCCCTTCCTCTCTGTAAAAAATCAATAAAATATATTTAAAAAAAAAAAAAAAGAAAAGAAAAAATCATACACCATGACCAAGTGGGATTTATTCCAGGCTGGCACAATATTCACAAATCAATAAATGTGATACATCACATAAACAAACTGAAAGACAAAAATCACATAATCATATCAATATGACAAACCTATAGCCAACATCATACTCAATGGGCAAAAACTAAAGCATTTCCCCTAACATCTGGAACAAGACAGGGATGTCCGCTTTCACCACTCTTCAACATAGTACTGGAAGTCCTAGTCACAGCATTCAGACAAGAAGAAGAAATAAAAGGCATCCAAATGGGAAAGGAGGAAGTAAAACTCTCATTATTCACAGATGACATGATATTGTACACAGAAAACCCTAAAGACTCCACCAAAAAACTACTAGATTTAATAAATGAATTTGGCAATGCAGCAGGATACAAAATCAACACCCAAAAATCACCAATAATGAATTCTCAGAATGAGAAACTAAACAAAAAATCCCATTTACCTTGGCAACAAAATAAATTAAGATACTTAGGAATAAACTTAATCAAGTAGGCAAAAAACCTGTACTTAATGAAATATAAAATCCCTTCTATAAAAAAAAAAAGATTACAGTGGATTTGAAAACCTGCAGTCACCTAGTGATGTCACACCCATCACAATGTCATAGGGAAATGCATTACTCAGATGTTTATGATGATGCTGGTGTAAACAAGCTTCCTGTGCTGCCAGTCCTATGAAAGTCCAGCACACACAGTTACGCTCACTACATAGAATACTTGATGAGAAACTGGTTTATGCATTTGCTATACTATCCTCTTTATCTTTGTGAGCTTTCTACTTAGTGACAGAAAACTTTGCTGTGAAGCAGTATGCTGTTTTATGAGGGCAGCAGCCTCACAGGTCTTGTGTTGACTGTGCCTTCTGATTGCATCATTGCCTCCTGGGCTTGCTTGACTCTGTTGTTTATAAATTTCCTGGCCTAAGTGTACAGTGTGATAAAGTCTACAGTCGTGCACAGTAACATCCTAGGCCTTCATATTCACTCACCGATCACTGACTCCTGCAGAGCAGCCTCCAGTCCTGGAGCCCATTCAGGGTCAGTGCCCCACAAGGATGTACCATTTATCTTGCACACCACATTTTTACTGTACTGTATCATAAATGCTTCCTACCACTGTATTACAACTGCCTACAGTCTTCAGTACAGTAGCATGTTGTACAGGTTTGTTGCCTAGAACCC